CTTTTTTCTTTTTTTTTTTTTTTTTTTTTGGTTTCTTTTTTTTTTTGGTCTTTTTGAAACAGGGTCTCCTTGTAGCCCCAGCTGGCGTGGAACTCTATGTAGACCAGGCTGGCCTTGAATTCAGAGATCCGCCTGCCTCTGCCTCCCAAGTGCTGGGACTACAGGCATGTGCCACCATGCCTGGCTCTCATTTACTCTTCTTAATGAAGCTCTATAGTAAGTACTATAATTATTAACCTTCCAAGAAGACTACCATAAGTAAGATGCAATGTGGCAGCCAGCTGAATATGCTCTGCCTGAGTCAGCTGGGCACACACACAAAACTGAGGCTGGGACTGCACTCACCATTGACAACTCTCTTGCACTGAAGCATCTTAAGATCAACCAGCTCCTGCAGAAGAATTGAAAAACACTCATCAGTCTTGGACACTATGCCTCCCACACAGGAAGAGTATCTTTTAACCCTATTACTAACAACAATCATGGCTTTTAGGACACGTGTCTGTCCTCTCCAGCTAAGTACAGCAAGAAAGGCCTTGAGAGAACTACCATCAATTAGCTCTTTTTCCTGGGGGTGAGAAAGGATGAGCCACTCTAAGTGCTAGAGAAGACAATTACCCAGGACGAAGACACTGGGACCTCCCACCTCAATCACTAGACAAAGGGAAAGCCTGACAATCGGAGTTCAATCCCTAGAACCCATGTGACGGAAGGAGAGAAGAGATTCCCACAAGTTGTTCTCTGACCTCCACACAAGCACAGTGACAAGTACACACCAAGACACACACTAAATAAATAAATAAATTAGTTAATAAGGCAGAGAATAATTGAGGAAAACACCCAAAATGGACCTCTGGCCTCCATAAATATGCACATACCTGCACACACACGTGCACACAAAGAAACATGTATATCACACACACACACAAGCCAGGTGTGAATGGAGGCACACGCTTATACTACTTACTGTGAGAAGGTTAAAGAAAGGATATTTGGAGTATGCTGGCCAGCCAGCCTGCCTAGCCAAATCAGCAAGCCCCAGATCCCACTGAGAGACTCTTATCCCCCCAAAACAAAGTGCATCACTCTGGAGGAACAACACCCAAGGCTGACCTCTGGCCTACACGGGGCGGGGCGGGGGAGGCTTTGCCCAACTAAAGGACTATATCCTGCTGAGCTTGGTGGCACCCGCCTTTAATCCCAGCACTCAGGAGGCAGAATCCAGCCTAGTCTACACAGTGAATTCCAGGCCAGCTGGGGCTACAGGGAGACCTGATCTCAAAAAAGACCAAAAAAAAGGGGCTGGAGAGAAGTCTCAGAAGTTAAGAACACTGACTGTTCTTGCAGAAGACCCAGGTTCAAATCCCAGCACCCACATGGCAGCTAACAACTGTCTGTAACTCCAGTTCCAGGGGATCCGACAGCCTCTTCTGTCCTCCTTGAGCATTGCACAACACGGGTGCACTTACCTACATGCAGGCAATACACACATATTAGGAAGTGGTAGCAGGAGGATTATGGTCAATCCTCAGGTATATAGGAAGCTTCAAGCCTGCCTGGGCTACATGAGACTGTCTCAAGAAAAGAGAGAGGAAAGAAGAGGAGGAAGAGGAGAGCAGAGCAGAAGGAGCACATACCGAAATAAATCCTAGGCCCCTAACTTCTGAATGGCTGGAACTGCCCTAAGATTTCCCAAATTAGTTGCGGGACAGTGTGGAACCCAGCAGACTGTTCTTTTTAGCAGCTCTGCTCCCACTGCCCAGTTCCATGATCCCCATTAGTACAGATGACACAGGGCTATAGGAAAATCATGGCTATTTAGAAGAAGCACCACACAGGAGAGAGTCCTCACTTCCATCAAGTTATACTCTATGTTTCTCAATGAAAATATGCCTATGTTCTGGCTCTCTGTATTCTGGCTAATTCACATCTTTGTTTAACTCCTATCTACTCGTAGAAGCATACCTTAACTTCTTTATTTTTTTTTTGGTCTTTTTGAGACAGGGTCTCCCTGTAGCTCTAGCTGTCCTGGAATTCACTATGTAGACCAGGCTGGCCTTGAACTCACAGAAATCCACCTGCCTCTGCCTCCTGAGTGCTGGGATTAAAGGTGTGTGCCACCAC